TATAAGTATAATTATTAATGAAAAATTTATCATGAGAGATTTTATAAAAAAATATATAGGTACTAAAAATTTTTAAGTTATTAGAAAGTATATCTTATTATTATTTCATTTCACTTAAGTTGCTCAAAAACGATAATCATGTAAAATAAGTTATAGGTATTATAATATTATCATAACTCTCTATAATAATAATAGGAGTAGTATTTTGTTGAAATTTATAATTTTAACAAATTTGATTTTTACCAAACAAAAAACATAATTTTTAATTGATAAGTATCATCAGTAATATTTAGTACGATGGAAGTAGAGATTACTATTCTTGCTTTTATACAGTTATAATAATGATTTAATTTCTTTAATATAGTAATAATAATCCTTAAAAGCTATTACTTCAAAGTTAAAACATTTAATTGAATTGGCCTCACCTATAGTGAAAATAATAAAATAATGATTTATACACAACATTGTATAAGATACATGGTTAGCTCATCTTTATTTTTATTTATTCAACATAATATTATGTACACCTTAGCCGTAATGGTTATCTATTATTAAGGTACGATTAATATCTCGCCGTAATTGGWGTTTATTGTATAAGTAAGATGAGAATCATTATAGTGTGTATTAACTTTACTAATATTTAAATTTAATTTTGGGAAAAATGAACAAAAGATTTTTTGTTTTCATAAAACTTACTCAAAAATCTCTCTGTGAAGCTATAAGTATTTGGTATAACCATATTTGAAGCATTTCAGAATAAATAAAATTAGTTTATAGAGGTAAATTTCGAGCTATTTTATTGATTTTAAATAATTAAAACTAAAATAGCGTTTTTAATTTTTTATATTATGAGGTTCATTAGCACATTATTGTTTTCATACCTCCATTGTTATAGGTTAGCATGTTAAAAATGAGGTGTGTGAACATGCAGCCATGTAAGCTCCGAGTTTTTATTGTTACAAGTATATTTTTTATATTATACACATACACACATTCATCCCATTTTAAGGATGAAGAAGTTTGTAGAACATACTTCAACAGTGCTTGAAACTTACGATTTTTATATTATTTCTAAGAGATCATTAAGCCATAGCCAGCAGGTTTTCACTAGTTTTAGGATTTATTATGAAAATTCCACATTGTATTACAAAATGAAATAACTCTGTCGTGTATTTCTAATAACATCATAAAAAAGAACATTCTGAGAATTTCATAAGATTACTCACCTGTACATTTTTGCTGAAAAAATTGTTGGTGAAGATGTGTACAGCTGAAAAATTTCTTACTTCGCTAAATTCAAATACTAGTTCCACAAATCCCTTTGAGAAAGATTCTTTACGCCATCCAACCCATCCGTTACCTAAATAAAATAAAAACATACATTATTAAATGATTTTTTAAGTCATTCATATCGAGTATCATAAATTATTTAATAATATAATTTTTTTTGATATTGAAATTGTATTATGATACACAAAACACAATATACTAGTAGGTCATGCTTATCATGTTCTTTTTACAATTACTTATTAAAAAAAAATAATAATAATAATAATATTAAATAAATAAATAAAACAGTTCAAGGTATAACACTTCATTAAAATAATATGTAGTATCGATACATTATTAAAATTAAAAAAAATTAAAAAATAGTTAATGATTTTCAAAGTTACCTATATTCCTATTTAATGAAAATGTTCTTAAATAATACACGTGAACATTCAAATCATTTAAGAAACATTTTAAAATATATCATATATGATGAATTAAAATATTTTATGTTCAATAGAAGACATGAATAGTGCAACATTAAGTTTAAAAAAATTGTCATACGTATTTTTATGACTAATTTAGATTCTTAGCGGAAGGCAGAAACTATAYTKGTTTTATAATATTATGATTTATTTGTTTTTGTTAACATTTTTTAATCCAAGAAAAAAAGATTGAACAGTTTAAGTTCGTGGCTTTGTAGATCGAAAAGTGAATCAAGAATGTACTTTAAACTGGCCGTTTTTCTAATTTCCAAGTAGGTAGT